ATTTTGTTTGTCCTGCTTGCATCAATCCACAACAACAAATTCGAAATAGCAATATTTTTGAAGCCATTAAGGTAGAGAAAGTCACATCGTTCCAATATCTAGGGGATGTTCTGGATTGTACTGGAACAGCTAAAGCTGCTGTACGAGCACGCATACGTGTAGCTTGGAATAAATGGCATCTCCTTGCTTCTATATTGATGCGTCGTGACATCCCACTACCACTACGATCAAGATTTTATAAATCTGTGATACGTCCGGAGTTGTTATATGGTGCAGAAACGTGGCCAATGACAACCCAACTGGAACAACAACTTCACCGAACCGATTTAAAAATGCTCCGATGGATGCAGCGAATTTGTCTGAAGGACCACATCAAATCTACCGAAATCCTGCGTCGTTCTGGTTTAGATGATATAAAGCACGAATGCCGGCAACACCGTCTGAGGTGGTTTGGTCATGTCAAACAAAGTGGAAACAGTGCCGTAACTTCTCTTGCAGATGTTGAAGTACCTCTCACACGTCCCAAAGGCCGTCCAAAGAAATCCTGGTCGCAAACGATCGAGCAAAACATGAAAGCTCTAAATTCTAACATATTTTATTTTTCATGTTTTATCATTTCTCTTCCTCACTTTTTGTATTTATTTTCTCACTTATTTGTTTAATTTTGTTTCACTGCCTTGCATGTTGTTACAGTTTCTGCGTCTGTCAGATCATGATTTTTAAGAATAATAAAAAAAAAATTTAATGAAATGGATACAACTGATCGCCCAATTTGGCGCAAAAAATTGATGGAAAAGAAAACAACGACCTACCTCGGGAGAACTGGGTCTCTGGACGCTAAACGATGATTGATTTATACTAAAATCACTTAAATTTTTTTTTCGTCGTCCTCAAACAAATCATAAAAAGAAATGTCATAGCAATCAATGATACTAACAAGATAAAAGTCAGGATATTATACTACAATAATTGTAAGACATTACATTTGTTCTTAAAGAACAACTGCACTCCTAAAGACGATACTATGAAGCGTAATCATGTAATATATAAATTACTACATAATTTCTACATATCAGGAAAAGGCTTTCATCACAAGACACCTTAAACGTATTAACTCTCAATAAAACTTTATCATTCGAACAACTAGTTTTTATTTATCGATCACCTCACTAAGTCATCATCTATTCTGTTAAATTGCGTTTTTATGCCATTCCTTCATTTTATTGTCAATTTATTTTCTTTTATTTATTATATTATTTATCATTTATTTTATTTTTCATGTTTAAACATTTTTCTTTCTCCGTTTTTTTTTATTTATATATTTACTTATTTGTTTAATTTTGTACTACTGCCTTGCATGCTGTAACAATTTCTTTGTCTGTCAGATCCTGATTTCTAAAGAATAATAAAAAAATTTAAATGCCCTATTGACGATTGCGCGTCAACAATATTCGCTATCAAGACGTCTCACAATGCATACACAACACAAAGATAAGCCATCTAATCTCACTTGCAATGAACACATACAGATCCAATAACCCGCCAAATTCTTGACTACAACACATAAAGTGTTCATCCAAACACCAACATAATACATCTAAATACGCCTTAATACAAATTTCAATGACAAAAAAAAAGAAATGACAACAACAAGGATGAAGAATACGATACCAACTAATAAACTTTGCTAAAGAACTTTGCTTTGTTGAAAGAAACTATATAAACCAAACCTTCGCTGAAAATGATTTATGAAAAATATATAATATATATATATATATTAATTCAAAATTTATTCATTATCAACAACATATCAAATAAATAAAATAAAATAAAAATTATGAAGCTGAATATGCGTAGAACCGGATAATTCTGCATGTCTTGTAAATTTTTTTATTTTCATTTTTGTCCACAAGCACAAAAAAGTAAACATACTTGTAGTATATATATGCATATATATATATATATATATATATACATATATATATGTTGGTGATAGACAATAATTTTTACAATATTCTATAAATTCTACCGAATGTTTGGCGTTAATATGTTTGTAGTTCGTTTTTTCGATTTTTCTCACTAAAGTTTTTTGGTGAACGTCTATTAAAATCCAAAATAAACTTATTTTTCGAATTCATGCTGCAAATAAGGCCATATTTCGATTCTGAATGAATCATCGTCAGTGCTCCTTGCTGTATATATAGGGAAATATTGACTTTGTCAAGATTAACTTTGACGTTGTAAAAATTAACTTTGGTGTTGTATATATATATATATATATATATAGTTGTATATATATAGATATATATATATATTTAGGAACGAGGTTTTCATTTATACAAATTTCGTTGAATATGTTTACCCATTTTGCATTTATTAATTTCTTTGAAATTGAATCAACACGATGTAATTGTTGCAATTCATATTTATTAAAAACTTGTGTCATGTCGTGGCTAAAAACGTTGTTTCGGCTAGGTAGCCATCATCAAAATTGTGGAAAGTTATATCGGTCACACACGCACTACTCTCTCCCGTAGGCTCACCATGCACATACAAGATGGTGCAATATGGCTACCGTACACAAGATGCTTCTCCCAACGATCATCTTGGATGCCAATACGACAATACTTGATTCAGAACTGCATCCTGGTCGACTCAAAATCCGTGAAGCTTTACATGTCAACAAATATAAACCAACTATAAACAAGCGATCGAATAGTTTTGACAACATTTTTCAACTGTTTTCAGACACAACCTGCCAATGTTACTGGAGAACAGCCGCTCCTACAGGTATGAACACAATACGAATACCGTTCAGCGTCTGACAACATCCTACCAACTAATATACAGTGTTTGACTTTACGTCATAAACCCACTGTTTCAACTTCCCTAATTTCCTTATTTCAAGACTAACGTAATTGCTGTTTTACATAATTTATCCTTTATTTATCATGACATGGTCATCTTCTATTATACTTTGTTTTATATGTTAATAACATACATTTTGTATAATTATCATATTATTTCTTTATATTTAATTCATATCCAATTTTAATTTTAATTTTTCAATTTAAACGTTAGTCCATAACCCGGTTTTTATAATATCATGCTATCACCACGTAGTATGTTTATTTCGTGCATCCGCTGACATTGTTATTTAAATCTTAATTTCTAACTTTAATATTTTATTTTAATTTTTAATAATAGCAGCAAAAATTAAGATTATTTCCGAATATTTATTTACTGTTTTACACGTTTCTACAAGGTGACACTATTTTATTCATTTATAATTATATCTAATATTTCACAATAGCATGTTACCATATTATATTATAACTTATCAAATTTAAATTTATATTTCATTGTTTTATTGAAAATTTTTACAATTCACTAATTTTAGGTTCTGATGATGGCTACCTAGCCGAAACAACGTTGTTAGCCACGACATGACACAAGTTTTTAATAAATATGAATTGCAACAATTACATCGTGTTGATTCAATTTCAAGGAAATTAATAAATGCAAAATGGGCAAACATATTCAACGAAATGTGTGTGTGTGTGTGTGTGTGTGTGTGTGTGTGTGTGTGTGTGTGTGTGTGTGTAGTTATTAATATCACCGCATTTTCCGCATTATTAACATCACCGCATTTTTCGCATTGTTGAGTTTGTAACTAAGTTTTGCAACATTTCGTACAATTATTCTTATCGATATTATTCAATTTATTCAAATTAATAATAAAATTTCTAATTATTTTAGACTGTATTTTTCTTATATATATTTACATAAAAGCTTTTTCAGTTAAGCTTTACCATCATCAGTGTAATTGAGTTTGTGATATTGTTATAAGTGGTTCATTTGTTATTTATAGTATTCTTAACAAAGGAACTCTAAGTTCCATTGTTTCTTTGCGTGAATAATTTCTTTGTTGGTAGGATCGTTACAGCTTCTTGATGGATGTTTATTACCGGGTTTCTATTTTCTATTAATAAAGCCTCTGCCATTCTCAAATTGCTTATATTATGGTTGTAAAATAACACTTTTGTATTTGAGTTTAATATTTCTCTCGTTATTTTTATTTGGTGGGAATCCAAACAAACACGCACACACCATTTTGTGTATGCGTTGTTAACCTTCTTGATAAAGTCGTAGTAGTAAATCCGATATATTCTGTGTTTCGGTGCCTACAATCACCGATTTTACAATCAAAAGAATATACTAGATGACTGCTTTTCATTATCGATTCTGGTTTAGTATTGCAATTATTTTTAAGAACAAGGGATGAAGTTTTGTTCGTGTAATAAATAAGTTTTAATTTATCATTTTCATTGATAGTTTTTACATTACCGTTTACAATCCTTTTTATTATTTTCTCATCGGTCTTATAAGCTGTTGACTTCGTATTTTTGTAATAAAGTATTATGTCATTTGTTGTTTTATTATCGTTACTTTTGTTTGCTACATCACAATCTTTTTTGCTAATAATTTTTACAATGAATGTTCATTTGTAACCATTGGAACTTAGAGTTCCTTTGTTAAAAATACCATAAATGCCAGATGAACTACATATAACAAAATCACAAACTTCATTACACTGATTATGGTAAAGGTTACCGAAAAAAGCTTTTATGTAAATGTATATATGAAAAATGCAGTCTAAAATAATAAGAAATTTTATTATTAAATTGAATAATATAGATAAAATAATAGTTCGAAAAATTAAAAAACTTAGTTACAAACTCAACAATGCGGAAAATTCGGTGATATTTCTCAACAACTATATACGACAGTCTGAACCTATTATCCTAATTGCATATTAGATAATAAGTCGCTTGTCATGGCGCTATATAAAATGACATTATTATTATTCTTAACTACGGCAATAAAGATATAAAATTTTTTAAAAAAGAATTAAATCTATATATACATATATACAATTGGTATACAATGTATAAATAATTTACTTCATGGAATGTAAAAATTACTTTGTTTCTCTGAAGGTTGAGTGCAATATACGGCGGTACTTATATGTTAGACAAACCTATCGACGAAATCGTCTTAGAGAAAGGTAAAGTTGTTGGTGTGAAATCTGGAGGAGAAATAGCAAGATGTAACATGGTCATTTGTGACCCTTCATATGCCCCAGAGAGCTGTAAAAACTTTGGCAAAGTTTGTTTTTGTTTAATTGTCGTTTTAATGGGGGTGGCGATGTTGTAATGGTTAAGTGTCCGAGTTAGAATGTAAAATGTCTGCCAATCACATGCAAAAGTGTGTGATGCGTTGAATCACGTGTATTTATACGCTGTGTGTTGGTTGTAATAATAATAAGTCGCTTGTCATGGCGCTATATAGAATGACATTATTATTATTAACTACAGCAATAAAGATATAAAATCTTTAAAAATAGAATTAAAACAGGTTAAAACTCTTGGTCGCAACAACCATCGATTTGATGTTCAAATTAGCTTGGTTGCCAAAAAATTAGGATAAAAACTCTCAACATCAAAATTGGCCGTTGATCAAAAACCGAGCATCACTAATCAAATCAACCGTCGTTTTTGGTGGACCCGTAAAAAGTTGTTCACTCAACCAAACAGCTTAAGTTCATATTTGATGTTGACAACTGCAAAAACTATTTTTCCCCCATCCTTGACGACAACAACTTCATTAATCATCAACTTCCAAATTGGATTCCCAAAATTTCAAAGCTGACGATACCTTGCAACTTGAACCATTCATATAACGAAATATCAACAATCATCTACAAATGCATAGCTAAATCGTCTTCCTGTCTTTTAGATCAAATATCTATAATTCCTTTCAAAAGAGTCCTATCCTTCGCACAATTCTTCTCCAATTACTATCGCAATGCTGATTATCTTCGACAATTCCGATCGCTTTGCAACCCATACTGTATAAAATATTTTTATCATTTATCAACAATAGAATCTTCAATTTTTTCGTAATCAACTTATTTATACACATAAATATATAAAAAGGTTTCTACCAAGAAGTTAACGGCACTCCAAACTCTTGACTCATATGCTCAAAGATGCATAGAGACATCAAACGCACCATTAATTGTCACTCAGACCTCCGCAACGCATTCGACGATGTTAGCCCCAAGCTAATTTCCTCCACATTAGGTTACCATCACATTCCATTGCAAATAAGTAATTTAATTAAATTCATATGTTCAAACTATACAGTATCTGTTTCAAAAAGCGGCTATAACCGACAGTCAATTTAAAACCCACCGCCTGGCTTCAATTCAACAGCCATCATCGCAAACAACACAGGCGGTACTTAAAAATTAATTAAATTAAACCAAGCCTTGCGTAAGGCTACCGGTACGAATTTGAGGATCGACAAATGCTGCTCATTCGGAATGAGAAAAAAATGGCGGCTATGAGCAGTTTCTCCTGACGCTGGCTATTGACGACGAACTCATTCCTCGTGTTGAAATGGATCGACAACTCAAAAGCAAAAGAATTGATGATTTAAATACTCAATAACTTGCTATCAATCGTAAACAAGTTGGACACAGCGCCCCAATGGAAGCTGCAAATATTATAAGGGGTCGTTCCATCACAATTTTCTTTTGAGCGTCGCACATATAATATTCCGCTGACGTGGATTGGAGAAAGACTGGATACTTTGGTCGTGGAGGCAGTAAGAAACTGGCTGTCATTACCAATTAGCAGCTGTGTATTAGAATGCTTATCACTCCCTTTCAAATCAGGAAGCCTGAAAATTAAATAACTCAATAATTATGGTGAATCACTCAGAGTTAAACTCCGCAATTATCTTAAAATTCACCATGATGAAGAAATCAATTGTTTATTGAGTGAATCCTACAAGAGCTACACTAAGATTGACTACATGCTTCCGGATTCAAGATATGTGAAATGGACACTCCAAGCTTTAAAGACTCGCCAACAGGAATCCGATTTTTACCATCTGTCACGGCTACCTTGCCAGATGAGAATCATTAAAACGATATATGAACACATTCCCGCAAGCCAAGTTGCCCGTTGGCCTAAACTCAATCACTGCCAACCTTCCGGAGGTTATATTCAAATTTGTAATTCAACAACCAGATCCAGATGGGGTGAATCCACTAACGCGTTGTGCCCGCTTTGTAACGCTCTCCAAATAAACAAGCATGTTTTGTTAAATTGTAGCGGCTCTGAAAAGATTCACAAATCGTCACGATAAAATATTATTCTTGATTTTGAAGGAGATCAAGAATAATATAGAAGCCGGAAGCGACAATTTTTGCTGATACAAACAACAATGAATTTCTTCCAGTATCATCTCTTTTCAGATAATTTCGCCCTGATATTGCTCTTCTTCATGAAGACACGATCGAAACCCTGGAACTGACGGTCGCTACGAGTCAAACTTCTCGAAATCAAGGGACTATAAATTATCTAAATATTCACAGAACCTCAGTAACAATGTGATTGACAATTTGAATCACTTAAAAACAATTATTAAAACTTTTGAAATCTGCCCTTTAGGTTTCTTTAAACATTTTCATTTTTCGCTTGTCAATTTGAATTGGTCAGATCAATTTTACAATAAATAATGTTATAAAACAGGTAGTTCGTGCGATCTGTATTTTGGATCATGCTATTCCAAATACAAGCGAAGCTGCTTCTTGCCAAATAATCATCCCCCAGAAACAAGTCAACAGAAAATATGGTTAACAATGTTTCAAATTAACTTTTTGTTTGTTTTTTGTTTTAGTTTTTTAGAAAAATTTTTTTGTGTACGTTGAGTGTATACCCAATTACTTTAGAATATTTCGTGTGTGGTTTACATATTATTGCGTATAACTTTTTTTTAGTTATTTTAACTAAATTCATTTTAAATTTAATAAATTTGTGATATTATTCTGACAAACATTTTTAAAATTTAGAAACTTTTCAAATCATTTAACTTGCCTTTCAGATATTTATGTTTCATGTGTCAGTACGGCTCACATGGTGACAGGCAAAGGATTTTACCTGGCCATTGTTTCAACCACTGTAGAAACCAGTAACCCAGCTTTAGAACTTCAGCCAGGATTAAATTTGCTCGGATCGATCAAAGAAAAGTAATTTAATTTATTTTTTTTGTTAAACTACTTTTGTAACTACTTTTTCATCAATTACAAAAATTTAATCTCAGAAAAAATTGTTTAATGACGCTAGCGTCTAGTATATATTTATATTATATGACAAATATTTATATATTTTATATAATATTATAAATTTATTAAATTGGTAATGAATTTAGCTAAAATAACTAAAAAAAATTATACGCAATAATATGTAAACCGCACACGAAATATTCTAACGTAAATTTTTCTTAAAAATAAGACAACAAAACAAAACAAAATCGTAATTAAATGTTTTCTGAATTAAAGTTAGTTTTATCATTTGAATATGTTAATCTTTCTCAAATAAACTTTGATAAATTTTGCCGTTCTTGTTACAATAATAAAATTAATATATTATGAAGATGTGGAAGGCCGTTAGTTGATTAAAATCAGCATGTTGCGCACTTCTGGATTCTGAAACGTAATCCGCTTGTCTGCAAGAGTATAGAATCAAGAAGACCATAATAGAGCGAGTTACAATAATCAATCCTAGATAAGACTAACGAAGTAGCACGAAGGAGAAAAGTAGGATCATCATGAAAAGGCAAAAGATTTTCATTCTGCGTAGATGAAAGTAAGAACTTCTAGCAACACTTAATCTGAGAAGAAAGAGACAATACCAGAATCTTGTGAGAAACATCAAGAGTTTTAGAATCAGGTAAGATAATAGGAGGAATAGTAATTAAGTGTTTAGATTATTAAAACAAATTAATTCAAATTTAGAAAGATTAAGTTTAAGACACGTCGAGTCAGACCAAGCGATAATTGAAGAAAGACGTACAGATAGATTATGAAGAACACTATTGAGATTAATGGAGGAAAGGAAGTATAAATATAAGAAACATCAGCATATACATAGTTGACTAGTGACAGAAAAATTATTAATAATACGAAGTAGTTCAGAAGTATAGAGTATAAATAGAATAGGGGTAAGGATAGAACCCTGAGGTACCCCAAAAGTAAGAGTAAAGGAGTAAGAAGTAGAATTATTGAGAACAGAAGAAAAACGATTACAGATTTAAAAAAAACCAAGATAGACAAGAATCAGTAATAGTAATAGAAAGATCTAGCAGCCTCAAGAGAGTAGTATGATTAACGGTATCAAAAGCCGAGGAAAAGTCAAGAGCAAGAAGAAGAGTAAGATTACTATTGTTACTAGAGAGAAGGATATCATTATGTATTTTGAGTAAAGAAGTTTCAGTACTGTGAGCAGGTCTGAAACCAGGTCTAGTAGTATGTACAGGCTTTAGGCTTGAAATTTATTTATTTTGATTCATGAAACGTTACATTTGGCTTTTCCCTTCATTTTTTCAATCTTTGTATCCTAGCTTTTATAAATGTTTAGTGTTTATAATTTTTTTAGTGACACCTTTATAATCTTGTAACATTGATTACATTAGTTTCTTTTATAATCTTGCACTCCTATAGCCTTGTTAACATGTTAATTGCAGATTTGTATCGATTGCAGATCAGATGGAACCTTTGACTGATGGTTCAGATAGCCAGGTTATTTAATTAAGCTAATTAATTCATTAGCTTTTTTGTTTCTTGTTCCACTGTTGGTAACCGTGATTAAATGTTTTCTGAATTAAAGTTAGTTTTATCATTCCAATATGTTAACCTTTCTTAAACATACTTTGATAAGTTTTGCCGTTCTTGTTACAATAACGAAATAAAAATATTGAGAATATGTGGAAAGCCGTTGGTTGATTGAAGATTATCAAGAGTTAAGAAGTTTTTTCTTTACATTTTAGAGAATGAATATAACAAGAGAAATAGTTTTTTTGAATGAAGCTGATACGAAAGAACAATAGTGATAGACTTGACGATAGCGTAAGGGTGGATTTCTGCTAACATGTTATTGCCGTGGATGGTAGTTGAACGTGATATTGTATTGTATATGATGATTTGTATAGCGTCTCTAATAAAGAACTTCACAGCTTCCCTGTGGACTGTTGAATAAATGATGTATCAAACGTTTCTTGAACAACTGTCGGCTTGTGTCAATGAACTTTCTCAGTTCCACAGGCAAAGCATTCCGATTTTGAGCTGATGATATTAAGAATTTTCTAGTACCAATTTTGTTGGACGTCGGTTGTTGACATGATTTTGTTTTGGTTGTTGTAATGTTTTGGACTGTTTGAGGTAGTTGTTGCTGTGTAGTTGTTGGTCGGTTGATTTTGTTGCACTTTTTGTCTTGTTTTAATTTTTATTACTTTATGTTATATTATATTATATTGTTGTTATTGTTATTTTTAACTGCTTGTCCTGGTTATGACATTAAAATGACTCTCACTGCCTTGTGAGTGATGTTGGATCATCAAAGGCTAGGCCCACCGCTTATAACTCTGGTTGCGTAAGGAAGGGCGTCCTGCGTAAAAATTAGCCAATAAAATATTTATGATGACATTCGGTTTCATCATAGGTAGCCAAACGGCAACCCTCGATCTCGGGGAAAATGTCGTCTAAACGTGTTTTTTTGTTGCGAGGAATTGAATTTTATAGGCACAATATCTCCATTATTGGATAATCTCAAACTACTTCGGTTAGCAACTTCGAAAACCAGTTGGAGTTGCACTTTCAAATAACTTGGAGCATCGCTGGCCTGCGAATCTCTGACAAGGAGAGCTAATTTAATTTTTTCCTTCTGGCACATGAAGCCAGTTTAAACTCTGATGTAGACTGAAAATGAATCGAATTTTGAACATCCCGCCACCAATCTAGCCGACAGATGGCAAAGAAGAACGAAGAAAATTTTGAAATTAAAGTGAATACGTTTAAAATAAGAGTAACATGACGATATCAACAACTAGAAAGTGTTATAATTCAAGTGGATACCTTTAAGATTTTTTTTATTTTTTTGTTTGTTTATTAACATTTACTCTTAAACATTTTTTTAAATGCATGCATAACATACGACAAATTTGTCTAACACAACTAACCAGACAAGCACATGCAAAACCAGTACAATGTAAAAGAAAAAATATGGTAGTAACATTTATAAAGTAAAATAAAATAAATATTTAATAATTGTCTTCGACAGATTTTTATATCAAAGACTTATGACGCTACCAGTCATTTTGAAACAACTTGCTTGGATGTGTTGAACATCTTTAAAAGGGCAACAGGAGCAGATTTTGATTTTAGCAAAGTTAAACACAATCTAGAAGATCAAGAATAAAAAACATTTGAATTTCATTTATAATGAAACCCAAATGAATTGTATTTCCAGTTATTTGTCCGTAAAATAACATTATTTGTATGTAATTGGTCTTAGTTATGGCTTGTTGAAATTTTAAAATAATGAGATTAACTCGAATACGCCTACGTACGGACTACTTTAGTAGTTACAAAAATTTTCATATTGTGGTTTTATACGCCTCTCTTTCTCTATTATGTCTAATTTCCAGCTATAACGTTTGTTTCAATTTTCTAATGTGGCACCAGTCGTTGCTATGAACAAAAAAAAGACTCAATAAGGATTTGCTCATGATCTCATACTGCAGTAACTCGAGAATGTAGTTACCTGTGTAAATACTCGGAAGACGTCAAATGGAATCACTTAAAATAGAAATGGAATGAAAATGTTAAAATCGCTTCATAGTTAAAATAAAACATACAACATCTGACGATGTGGCAGTTGGTAATTTTAAATGAACGCACGTATGTCGTTGACGATTGCCATTGCCAATAATTTTGACCGTGTACTGGGTCAATCGTTTCTCAAATACATAGTTCTATTGATGATTGTTGACGGATAATGAGTGGCAAACTTTCGTTTTGATGGTGAGCAATATAAAATGTTATTTACTCTTTAAAATAAGAAATATGTATGAAATAAAAATGACCACATTAGAGTTCTCATAGAGTTCTCACTTTAACAGAGATCACAAATATTGTTAACAGTTTTCAAAATAAACTTGTCAAAAGATATCAATCCTCGTTTATAGTCTTCATACGTTATGGGTCGAACTTTTTTATTCCATTCATCAGCTTCTGTTTTAAAGCCGATCTATCCATTGCGTCTGTCTCTTCGAAACCAAGTGCCTTCAAGTTCTGTACTTCTTTCCAGGGCGGCGTAATGGTCTAATGTTAAGGTCGCCTGGTGTTTCGCAGTAACCGGGTTTGAATATGACAAAAAGGTCCCCGCCTACCACATGCTTCGTGTGTGATGCGTCGTTTAGCATGTATTCATATACAATGTTTGTGCGCTTTGTTGAATCCTCTGAATTTTGAAAGAGTGTAATTGACCTTTAACCTTTTTTTCGGCGACTTCTTGGGCGGGTGCCAGGCACCTAGTGCTCAGTAGCAGAAATTATTTTATCGTTTTCGCCTCGCTTTACATGTCCAAACCATCGTAGGCGATGACGACGACATGCATCCTTCAACGTGCACAGTCCCGGATTCAGGATCTCGGTTGTATGGATATGGTCCCATAGGTCAACATGCTGCATCCAACGAATCATCTTCATGTAAGTTTGGTGAAGCTGCTGTTCTAGTTTTGTTGCCATCGGCCACGTCTCTGCACCATACATCAGAACAGAACGTATATATAGCTGTGTTGTAGAGCTCTGCGCACAGTGGTAGAGGAATGCTAACCGAGGCAAAGAGGTGCCATCTGCCCCACGCCGCACGAACGGCGGCATCAGCTGTTCCAGTACAATCTAGCACATCTCCCAAATACTGAAATGAAGTAACACTTTTGATCCCGCTATTCGTATCATCATCTGGGCCACGTTGTCGCGGTTGATGCAGGCGGGGCATACGAAATCAGTCACTTTTCTCAGTGAGCCGGTAATTCTCGAGCATCGCCTGTGACACCACTGCTGACATCGTAGGCACTTGATCGAGTTGCTTCCAACTCCAGTCCCATACACCGAACATGGCCAATGACCAGAAACCACAGGCTCAACGGTGATCATAGTTTTGTTTTGTCAAGGTTTACGTGTTCGGCTAGCTGGGTATTCATGTCACTTTCTGGCTGCGTCAGGACGATATCATCAGCCGCCGTCAGGACGATATCATCAGCATATATCACATTCCATATGTAATCTGAGCGTATCGGTTTGGTTATTTCTTCCATCACCGTGATAAAGAGCAGGGGGCTGAGTATTGATCCCTGATGGACGCCGACTTAATGTCAAATTCATTCGTGCTACAGCTGTTGTGTTGACCAGAGTTTTTGTGTTAGAGTACGTTGCCATAACCAGCCGAACCAGATATTCGGGAACAAGCTGTCTACGTAGACTCCACCTGATCGCCTCACGAGGCACTCTGCCAAAAGTCTTTTCCAAGTCCTCAAATACATAGAACAGTCGCCTTTGCTTTGCCAAGTATTTTTCCTGTAGTTGACGTATGATATAGATAGCATCAATGGTGGATCTCCCTGCCATGAAGCTGTACTGGTAACCACCTATTGAAACGCACAACAGTCTTCTTTCAATGGCTTTTTCAATAACTTTTAGGGGGTATTCCAAAAGACGTATACCCCGATATGTAGAGCATTTCTGTGAGTCTTCTTTTTTTATATATATCGGCACGGTTGTGCAACTATTCCATTCCACTGGTAGTATCGATTTACTCTACATCTATCGACAAATGTGTAAGAGTGTCACTTTCTGGCTGCGTCAGGACGATATCATCAGCCGCCGTCAGGACGATATCATCAGCATATATCACATTCCATATGTAATCTGAGCGTATCGGTTTGGTTATTTGCCTTGCCCCACCAGATGCCTTGATGATATCATTTGTAAGTCCAGACGGACCAGCCGCTTTACCCTCCTTTATTGCTTTTAGCGCATCCGTAAGCTCCTCAGTTGTGATGCCCAAAATCAGTCCTTCCACCGGAAGTGCGTCAATGTCCACCCCAATACGGTTTGTTTCATTCAATAACTGATCGAAATAATCTTTCCAGTGATGCTTCATTCTGCAAGGTTATTATGGTGTCTTTATTATTCTTTATGCATGTGGTACCAACTATATCCTTCTTCAGTCTTTTGGCCTGATTTGTTATTCGGTAGTGACCGAATTTGTTTGCCTTTACTTCCAGTCAGCCGTACCTTGCATTGATTTGCACAAGCTATCGCAACCTGACATTTCGCTTCTTTGATCGGTATATCTTTCGATCTTCATCTTCTGCCATTATTTGAAAGTTGCTTTCTTACTGGCAATAGCATTTTGCACCGTCTCGTTCCACCACCAAGTTTCGTGATTTTGTTGGCGTTTTGGTCCAGATTTTATACATACAGCTGTTGCAGCGTTCACTAGGGTGTCCTGAAAAGATTTCTATGTTATGTCTACCTTCTTCAGACGATTCAGCTGTGCCGATACCAACTTCTCGAATTTTTCACTGAAAATGGGGTTCTTTAGTTTCCATGCCTTTATTTTAGTAGGAATTCGATCATTCACAGGGAAATTTCCGGTGGGCCGGCGTTTGCTAACTGCCAAAAAAATTATTACATTTTTAGTTTCAGCAGAAATTACTTTTAATTATATGACCGTTTTAATAGAATATAGCAAAATCAGCAAAATTATTATATAAGAAGTCTAAATCTATTTAAATAATAAGCATCTGAGGTCAGTGGTTAAAACCTATAACATATTAATTTTAGTGCTAAATTTTGATTAAATTTTTCAAGCAACTATAAATTTTTCAAAGTTTGCAATCAGCGAACTAGATAAAAAAATCTCGACATTGAAGTGCAGACCTAATGAATGAAAACAGAATTATTGCCAACCAACTGCTTGAAATGCGAAAGATAAATTTCTTGCCATTGTTCACAATGTAGTTGAGGATCAAATGCTTAATAGCTTAAAATAGAGATATTCAACCGTTCAAAGTTGTTTCGCATAATTACAAATTTTAACGTGTAATTATTAAAATCATTTGTGTACGACTTTTGTGGTATTTTTGAAGTTTAAAATTTTATTATTATGAATGGACCTAATCATAGAAACTGAAAAATATATATAAATTGATCGGGTTTTGTTCAGATCTGACTGTTGTGTTGTACACTGCAGATTTTTCAGATAGCACTAGAAAGCGATGAGAAAATTGGCCAAAATTGTTCATCCAAGATTCAAGTTAGCATTCTTACATGACGATCAAACACATGTAAGAAAAAACGTTGCTGACATAGAGATAGCAGAATCAGCACAAGCACAAGTAGAGTAACGTTGGGCAAAGCGCTGCATGGGGTAAGAAGACTAAATTCAGTTTGCACGAAATTTGTTTAAGACCGAAAGTTGTTCAATTAATTTTTAAAAATTAGAACGCATCCTTATTATTTTGAATATAAAACCACGCCGTTTCTCCGTTTGGTTTCTTCTGTTTCAGAGTTTTATATAATTTGCAGGGGAAAAATTGATCGTTTTATAAATTTTGTATTCGGGTTTTTAATTAATTTCTTGATAATAAGATCGTCATTTGTGAAGAAAATAGGTTTTTTATAAAGAAAAATCATTTTCACATATACAAAAGTAGCTTCTAATCGGTTGGAGCAATTTTTTGTATTTTTAAATAAAATTTATTCTTAACATTATCTATGGGTGTAAAACGCCTCTGTAACTTAAGGGCTAGAGGCCCAATTTACATTTATTGAACTATTTGACAAATTTCAGATATTTGTATGTAGGCAGCAATCCTTGTAATTATTTGTTAAAGTACTGAAATTTATGTTTTATGTATAATAATGTAAATTAATTTCATATATAAAAATTATATATATTTTAATTTTTAAAGGTGTAAAATGGTCAGAAATTATGTAAGAAAATCTACAAGATGCTTAACTTATGATGGGGAAAGTTTGAAAAAGCATTGGATGCTCTAACCAATGGTCAGTTACTTAGTAAAGTTATCAGAAAATATGGAGTTCCTGCAAAAACTCTAAGAAGACATCAAACAGCCATGACAACATCTTCGGGAACTATAAAGCTTGGACGATTTAATACCATTTTTACAATGGATCAAGAATTGCAGCTTGTAGATATCTTACAAAATAGGGGAAAATCATTGTTTGGAATGACCACAACAGATGTCAGAAAGGTGGATCATCCATTCCATGTCGATACACAGATGGCTGGATTAGATTGGCTGTATGATTTCTTGAGAAGGCATCCAATACTATCAATCAGAAAACCTGAACCGATGAATATTTCTCGTCTAGTCGGTTTTGACAGAGAACAAGTGATGCTTTTTTCAACCTCTATAGGAAACTGTTGAACAAAAGTGATTAAAATTCCATGAAGATATGGAATGTGAACGAGACTGGGATATCAACCGTTCAGAAACCAGTCAAAGTTGTTGGTACCAAAGGAGCTAGACAAGTCGGGAAAATCACAAGTGGAGAACGTGGGCATACAGTGACTGTGTTTTGTGCTACGTATATTCCGCCCATGTTCACTTTTCCTATAAAAAGAATGGTGGATTCGTTAATGAATGGCTGTCCACCAAATTCAATTGGGGCTTGCACTCCAAGTTGTTGGTCTGACAATGACTGTTTTGTGAAATGGTTGCAACATTTTGTTTCTATTGTCAAACCATCTATGAATGACAAACACATCATACTTTTGGATGGTCATCACAGCCATAAAACATTGGAGTCAGTGATGTTTGTTAGAGATAATGGCATTGAGCTCTTGACTTTTCCAGCGCACTTATATAGCTTTTTTCAGCAGTTTGAAGTCTCTTTACAATTCTTCAGCCGATTCATGGATGATGGCAAACAGATGTCGAAGAATAACTTTTTATGAGATAGGTTTGATTTTTAAAGAAGCCTATTTCAAAAGTGCTACGATTGAAAAGGCAGTGAATGGTTTTGAATCAACAGGACTTTGGCCACCAAATATTTAAATATTTCCTGAAAAAGATTTTTATCCATCAAATTAAACCGATGAACCATTACCATCATCTTCCAATGAAGATACAAATTTACAATCCGACATTTTGAACAGATTTACGTTTAAAAGATTTGAATTTTGTGTTTGTTTTAAAGTTGAATTTTTAACATTTAATTTGAGACCAGTATTCTAGAATTGAAATTATGTTAGAAATTTTTTTTATTGTCTATTCTTATTTAGGCTTTTCAGTCTTTTTTTAAGTTCAATGGCAACACTTTAAAATTGAATTTTATGCAAGCGGAAGCCATCTTTGTATTCATTTTTAATCGTTTTACTGCTTGTCTACTAATATGTCTACTAATAAAAAATGAAAGATTGATGGCGAATGTGGAGTATTTAAGAAAGAATGGACAACCAAATATTATTTCACTAATGATGGTGAAAAAGTCTGCTTAATTTGTTGCGAATCCAGTTAAAAAACGTTGAAAGTCGTGAACAACAGCGTACTTTCCTTTGATTAGAAAATATTTTTGTTACTGTTGTGTATGCGAAAACAGTGTGAAAGATAAAAAGCTGTGATGAAAATCTTTCAATCGTTCACTGAAGAGTCAATTAAAAACTGACGTTGCTGAAGAAATTATTTTAGGTTCAAAAGAATTGACCGGCCACAACTGAAGTCATTTGAGGCAGTGGCTATTAAGTTTTTTATCAGTCATACTGAAATTATTTTGTTAGCATTATAAAGACCAGGATCATCAGCTGTATTCTCATTGTTTTTTCAGGAGTTGAATGAAAAATGGATGTTTTGGATGAAATATCAGCCCTTGTAGATTATATGCTGCTTGCTGGAGTTTTAATATTTGTATGGTAAATTTAACTAGTTCTACAACTGTTAGATTATTAGAAGTATTCAAGACATATCAAATTACCCATAGAGTAAATGAACCAAGTCATAATTTGGGGGTACGTTAGACTTGGGATGTCTTCTGATGATCTGCCTGCAGTTGAATGTATTGTTGGTCCAAGCGGTATATACTCAGACCACAATTTCATAAAAACAATTTTTCCAGTCGTATTGAAGCGGCCTGTGTTTGGGCAAAATTAGTTCGTTCTTGGAGTCGGGTGGATGACAAATTATTTTTATCATTGATTTTTGGTTCACCTATCAGTGGTCCGTTTGATTATGATGCTTACTTGGTGCACAAGGTGTTTACGGATGAAACGACATCTATCATTCACAGGGTAGCTCCACTGCACTCTGTAAAATCTAGACATGTTCCTCGGGGCCATGGTTTGACGACGAATGTAGGAAATCTAAAAGACGTAAGTTGGAGAAATTATATAGAAATGATGAAACGTTGTTGGATAAAGGTGTTTGGTAGGCTGTGTTTATTAACAAAAGTTTTCTATTTAGTGTTAAGAAACAACTATTGGAAGAATTTGATTGAAAATAATAAAAGACAACTTAAAAAATTATAGAGTGTTGTAAACAAAGTACTCTGTAGAATACGTTCGTTGAATTCACTAAGATCATATAGTCCTATTAATTTTGGTGAATATTTCAGACATAAGATTGAAAGGGTTTGAACTAAAGAAACTTGAAAATGATTTACGATCAACCGTTAGGAAAATCGAAAAGTTAAATTTGAAGTTAACTAACGCCGAACATGCTGTGTTTTTCATCAATAATTGCTTTTCTGACGGTCTTAACCCAATATTTATTAAAAACCACGGACTGGAAACAACATCGTGGATGACCGCTATGATCGACTGGAACATGAATTTAAAACCAAAAAAGAGCTAATTACAAGAACAAAAGAATGAATTACGTGCTTACAAAGCAATTTCCGATAATGCTGATGTCAGCTACAAACTTAAACGCACAATCAACAATTATTTACATCAAATCAATAGCAACCATTATAAATTAACAAAATAAAAACAACGTAAGCTAAGCAATTTCAAAAATATAAAACCTATAAATATAGACCACTTCATTAATTTAATTAAATATCAACTGACAATCGCTAAACAACAACTCCTTAACCTTGGACTCAATTGTCATTAAATGAGGAAACCTAAGAATCAATTTAGAAAATCAAAAACACTCAACACAAACATTGTTAACGACCTAAAGCTGATAGCAAAAATAGAGAGGTAATTTAAAAGCAAGATTCTCACAAGGAATTGATCGATGCTGCAGCAACTTAAAAAAAAACAATAACATTATCATCTGAAAAGCTGACAAAACCCTAATGTATGTTATTATGGATAAAGATGATTATAATGATAAACTTAATGGCATTCTCTGTGACGCTGACAAATTTATTAAGATTAGCAGTGATCCAACTGCTAAACTTAAGACAAAGATGAATGAGATCATCAGAAGAATCAACGACAAAACAGAAGGGAAAATACACGGAGGAATATGAACCAGGATATGCATACGGTACGGTCAAGACGCATAAGGCTAACAACCCTCTGCGACCAATAATTAGCCAAAGTCCTGCGATCACTTATCCTATTGCAAAAATTCTCAACAAAATAATTAAACCTTACACCCCTAACAGCAATAACTTAAACACAATTAGATTTATAGATTTATGGTCTACAACGAAACCATCCTTTAACACCAAAATAACATTTTTGGATATGGAGCCACTCTTTATAAATGTCCCTTTAGAGGACATAATCAGCATAATAATAGATAGAATATAAAATTCCAGTCATTTGCCACTACTAATTCCAAAGGATGAATAGTTGCGCTGCCAAGATTATGTACAGTCGAAGCGTTTTCGTTGGCCCGGGTAACACATTATATCAGCAAATATACGGTGTAGCAATGGGCTCAGTACTCTTCGCAAATTTCTATGTTGGACATATCGAAGAAATGTTTTTTAAAGAAGAACCAGAGCTAAAACCTAATATATACTGCCGATATGTTGACGATATACTTGTTACATATGAAGATGATGATCAAATAGCAAGACTTCTATTTATATAAAATGTGCAAAACGAATTTAAAATCTCAGTCTACACCAAAGCATCAAACAAAGGTTTATGCCTCAATGGCAATAGCGAATGTTGTCAAGCATATCTAGAGAGCACGATTTCTACCTCTGTAAACCGAGCCTATTCGCATTCCAATATCCAATATTACATTTGAACAGATCGTTTGTTCAAATGTAATATTGGTGAGTGTTGGCACCATAATTATGAATACATCCTGTATTAAATATTCAAAAACGGGGAATTGGATATCTTCCTACCATTAAATTTAGAAACAGAGGAATCGTCGATAATGAAAACACGTGAAAGTGTTATATTAAACGATGTTGAAGATTGTAAAACTAAGTATTCACTTTAAACAAACAACTTATAAAATGAGCGTTAAGTATTCACTTTGAACAAATAAAGAATCAACAAAATAGAGTAGAGACACAGTATATATATATATATATATATATATATATATATATATATATATATATATATATATATATATATATATATATATATTTGTGCATCTGGCCACATACATAACGTGTCAATTCGAACACCGAAGATGGTATAGGAATACCGAATTAAGCTTTTTTGTTCTATCATGTATAAAATAAATACAAATTTTGGTTTTGAACATTAAGAAACTTGTAAATAATTTACGATCAATCGTTAGAAAAATCGAATAGTTAAACAAGTTAATTGACGCCTAACATGCTTTGATTTTCATCAATAATTGCATTTCTGACAGTTTGAATTTAATATATATATAGTTTACGTGCCTCGTCCTGGACTACATAAGTTTGCCCCCCAACCAAAATCTGAAACGACGCCCATGATTTTTGTCAAATTTGTATATAAAGTGTATTTTATTATGCAAAACACAAATATGAAAAATTTTTCAATAAAGTTGTGTCTTTCGTTTTGCAGCAATTTGAATATCCAGCCTTTATTTTTTTTAGTCTTTATTATTGCAGCTCGGACATACGCAGAACCACTTACAATGATGTTGCATATTTATTATCTATATATTATATTATTATGTTCTGAAGCATCCATCTTCGCCACAAAGGCTGTTTATCCTTTTCACACGACGTACACATGTATTTATGTGCACGCGCAAGTACCGCATCATATACGCTGAGTATATGATAGCCATTGAGATGTTTGACTCAGCGAGCATTTGAACCACTGAGCCATTTCGCCGGCCAACATGCGACAACTTACGTCGTCTACCCATTTATCAGCCTCGAAAGAATGGACGGCTGGGTTGGCTGGCTACCCGGATAAACCTGCAGAAACTGCAAGATTCGAACCCGGGTCGTGGGAGTAGTAGACGGATACGTTAACCACTCGGCCACGTATAAAGGTGTATAAGTGGCACAATTTTTAGTAGTTTATACTACTATTTTACTCATGGATATAATGAATATGGCATAATAATTGTTACCTGCCTAATAATTTTGCTTAGTTCTATGGAATTTACGCGTAAACATTAAACATTTTTTTTAGTAATTGACATTTTATTGATTTATACGATCAAATGTCTTAACATAGGCAAATTTTTTATTTAAATGTCAATAAATTGACAAAAAAAGAAACTAGAACGATAATCGCTAAACAACCGGCTAAAAACTGATTGCTTACTTTAACTTAAATTCACTTGTCAACAAATATTTGTTAAATTGACCTTGATGTTAAATATATATGAAAAATGTATATATATAACGCGCCTGCCATATTCAAATTATATATATCCATGATTTTACTCCCTATCCAATTACATAACGTCAAAGTTATTGAAATTTTATTAACAAAACAATTTTCAATCATTAAATTATTGATAAATCTCAAATGTCAATTTAATTTGATGAAACACTCTTCTGGATGTAACGCAAACGAAATTAGCTTTTTTTTAGTAAACTATAATGGTTTTTTGGTTTTGTAAGTACATAATAAGATGATTTTTCACATCAGGCCTAACTTCTGGTTAGACCCATCTGTCTAAACATGGCAGTTTACCGACTGGCCTACCCATTTGAAGCTGGGAAGCGTAACGTTTGAGCTAAATCTCAGCCATATCTCTCTTGAAGCCAAGATAGTGAAGTGGACGAGCTTCGTACGACGATGATTTTTTACAAAATTAAACGCCTTTTTGATTTAAACATCAATCACCAGCGCTATCAGTATTTTCAGCAGCACTGTCTTCCTTTGTCAAATATCCAACAGGAGGTGAAATGTATGGATAAGTTTTTTAGAATTCTCCACCTTCACTCATGCACATTACATCATCAACAGTGCATTTTCTAAAAAATAAAATAGTTTCACCATAATTAACATTTATAGTAATTCAAAAATATATCACTACAAGCAGACCAACTACATTATAATATTGTTATAACTGGCCGGTCGACGACGAGTTCGTTTAATCCTAATAAAAAATAAAGGCAATATAACTTCCCAATTATCGATTTATTTATTTACAAAACAATAATTAATTAAATAATTAATAATCAGCGTTATTAAATTTTACTAATAATCGTTAATGTCCACAAACTATTAACGTTCGAAAACTATCGCTTTCCAAACAACTATCGCAAATACAATAAAAACGAACCGCAGTCAGATATCAAATATAGCTCTCAACACTACAATCAGCCTTTTAATATCAAATATTCAACGACAATCAATTCAATATCTCGCATGCCTTTATATACCCGTTTTACCAACGCTTATGGAACGTCCTAAATATCTCACTGTCGGAAGGTTCTAGTTCCTCCTCGAATCATATGCCTTCGTAGCGACACTAGCCCTCCAGCGAATGAATTTGTGACGGTTATAACAATATATACTTTATGCAGACGCTAAGCCACTTTATAAAGGCTCACCAAAATCTCTCCAAATAGCAAAACCCACGCGACCACTTATTTAAGATTCACTTATTTACATTGGTACTAAACACGTGTCAACAAGAAAAATATCAAAAAATCATTTTTAATAAAATATTTATTTACTAACATTTTTGATGAAGACATGATGAACTTTGAAACTTTGCAAAACATCGAAAAATTAATATATTTTAAAAATAAAACTCAAATTCAACAAAGACAATGCTTGCTAACGTGTTTATTTCAGGGCATCGAGCCCATATAATTAGAATAAATAGATCGAGCCGTAATTTTTTTTGTATCGGTTTACGGTTTCGGTCCAGTCTGCAAAACGAATTTTGGTTCGGTTTTCGTTCCTGAAATAATATAGGTTTTTTTTTTGGCGGTTTCGCTCCGAAACTTAATTTTTTCAAGCATAATTCCTTAATACATGTAACGGACATCCATTTACCACCACTATGTCAATTTGAATTAAATTTTACAACTTGTGAATAATAAGAAATCAATAACAAAAGCATTTAATTTTTAAATGTTGTCAGTATAAAAAGAAACCTTTCTAATATTTTTTTCAACAAATTAAAACAATCATTACAAAGATGTTTTAAAATCACTCATATAAATATAAGATTATTTCAAAAAAGATGAAAATTTCCTCTGATTATTAATATATCTTCTAAAATGTTTTGATTTAAACCACTTTTGCAGTCTCTGAGGATAAATTTTAATCCAGAAAAAGATCTTTCCACGCTCACTTGCACTACCTTTGCTAATTTGTATAACTGAGGATATTTATTTCCCCAAAACTGAAAAACACATTTTTTGTCACCTCTACACATTTTTAAACTCTTTTATAAGATATTTATATCAACATCACCAGACATTGGAAAAAATTTATTAACAGTTATTATTTCTTCCTCTTTGTTTTTTAGAAACTCTTCAAATTCATCCATAGGCTCATCAATTGACTCACTTAATGTAACATCTAAAGTAGCTATAAGTTCTAATTCAGATTTTTCTAAAACCACTAGTTTATTCCAAAGCAACTTTAGATGTTGCACTGCTTGCATTTTTTGTGACAGGGAAATCTTGGATCTAAATAAAGTGATCCCAACGGGCTTTTATTGTTTAATAACAACTTTTCTCTTACATTCAAATTTTTTGATAAAGTCTCTGCAAATTTTTTTTTTAGATTTTTCAATTTTAGTTTGCAATCCACTCAAACACCATAGAAATCACTCAGTGTCAATTGCTCACTTTAAAGTTTCAATGTTGTTTCAAATAAAGGATGGCCAATGACAACCAAACTGGAACAACAACTTCAAAGAACCGACATGATCAAACCACCGTCTCCGGTGGTTTGATCATGTCAAACGAAGTGGAAACTGTGCCATAACTTTTCTTGCAGATGTTGAAGTACCTGGCACACGTCCCAAAGGCCGTCCAAAGAAGTCCTGGTCGCAAACAATCGAGCAAGACATGAAAGCTCTAAATTTAAATGAAATGGATACAACTGATCGTCTAATTTGGCGCAAAAAGTTAATGGCAAAGAGAACAACGTCCTACCTCGGGAAACCGGGTCTCTGGACGCAAAACGAAGATAGATATAGATATGAAGTGCAGTAGCTAATAAATTAAGTTTTTTCCATTTGTCTTCAGAAAAATAGTAATCGAGACTACTTTTTGCAAAGGTTGAACTGTTTGCATTGTAATAATGATGTCATCATATTGATGTACTGTTCCATCTTGTTAGGCAATCTAATATTGGCCTTTAGATTTTCAACTCTTTAAATTTTGAAATTGTGTTGCTAGTGTTTCTATACGATTATCTGGAGCTGTTTTTTCATCATACTTTAATTTTTTTTCTTTGCTGAACACTTTCAAACTCTTCATCATGGTTACGTTTCAAATGACGTTCAAACTTGGCAGCATGATCTTCTTTTATAACAGCTTTACTTTACAAATATTACAAGTGCTTTTATTGTCCGTTTTATTATATTTAAAAAATTCTCGGCCGGCGTTTTCTTAGTTTCGTCCTATTCTAAATTTAAAACATTGTCATTAAAGTTGTTTATTGTTGTCATTAAAGTTTACGATTTTAACCCGAAAAAATTAAAATTGCAAAAAAACGGCGCAGCATTGTCGGTAAAGGTAAACCGATAGGAGCGCGAATTTCAAACTTTACCGCAAAGTTTATTGTTTAATTTATTAAACTTGTAAAAAAAAGTAAACAAAACTAAAATTTTAATTAATTTGTTAAAATTATTTACAAACTTTTTTGCAAATTGTAATTTGCAAAGATTTCGAAGATGATGATACTTGATCTCTAATTTCTTCGATTATATTGGATTCCTCTTCACGTGGCAATTCTTACTCAAATGATCGGCGAACTCAGTTCGAAAAGCAAACGAAAAGAAAGATAACACATTTTCAAAGATAATAAAAATTAACGTAGAATTTTAAAAGACGAAATATTATCTAAATATTTTTTCTGAATTTGACAAAATATTTTTTTTAAATTTTAGCATCGAATCGTTATTTATTTCGTCACGGTTTTCGGTTAAGCTAGCAAATAATATTTCTGTTTGGTTACGGTTTTTGTTCCGAGCAAAATTTCGGTTTTTAACGGTCTTCGGTTACGGTGCAGTTCCGGTTCGATAACCTGGTTTATTTACAAAATGTTTATGAAACATTCGGTATAATAAATCGAAGACGTTAAAAAGTGAATAGACTTTATAAACGTGTCTTGACATTGTCATTGCCCTAATATAAAATAACCCAGAACAACTTCAAATCAGCCATCAATAAAGTTGCAGAATATGAACTATATATAATTATATATAAAAGAACATGGCTAAAAATAGATAGATGTCAACAGATTCGGAGAAATCTCGGAGTTTATGTATGTTGAGAAAGAGAAAAGCAAAAAATAAATTGATTAAGTTAAAGAAGATGAAACTGAAAGAATTGAATTGAATAGTAATTTATTTGGCCAAAAGCACAGGAGATCAAGATACAAATATTATGTGCAGACCACCTTAACTAGAAAATGTGCAATGGAACATAAAATAAGACAAAAAAAATATACAATGAAAGGCAAACAAAATTCAACAGAAAATTACAAAAAAGGCACACAATTGAATTGAAAAACAAATTTGAAGAAAAAACAATTTAATTGACAGAACCACAAGAGATCAAAATATATAAGTAAATGCAATGTTAACAATCAAATGTAAATTAAAATATATAAAACAGACCATGGAGTAGATGAAAGCCAATAAGAATAAGTAAAAGCGCAACTCAATGCACATTAAGATGTCCGGACAGAATACTGGAAGACTTGAAAGTACCATTAGAAGAAGAATTTTTCACACTTACAGGTAAAGAATCCTATAGACGCATTGATAATGACGAAGTTGAGTGGATGAAAAAGTTTGACCTAGGAGTTGAAAGGTAAAAGTCAGGGTTTATACGAAAACGATCACATCTTGAATTTATAAATGGAATAAGTTCACGAAAAAGAGACTGACAGTGGTATAATCTATAAATTTTGAAAAATGAGAGTAACAAATGAAAAGCATACAATTGACTCAAGTTAAGTATATTCGCTAGATAATAATAGTGTGAAATGTAATCAAATTTATGTAAGTTAAATAAAATTCGAAGAAAATAGTTTTGAGCCAAAGTCAAAAAATGCAAACGTTAGAATTCGGAGCAGAACCCCAAACAGAGATATAGTAAATAATATAGGGCAAAACAATGGAATAATATAATGTAAACAAAACAAATTTAGAAAGCTTAGATTATATTATTATTAGATTATATTAAGCTTATATTAGGCCCAGATTTTTAGTTAATTTAGATGAAATGTGCTTGATGTGAGAGAACCAACACAAATTAGAGGAAATAACAACGCCTAAAAATTTACGTGAGAAGGCTCTTTTAACCGGGATGTTATTTAAAACAATAATAGGAGAGACAATATCAGTTCTAATTTTAGGACCAAACAAAAAAAACAAAATATAGGTTTAAAATTGGATAGAAATGATATGCTTGAGAAAATAGCTTAGGAAATGGATCCTAAAGAAGGCAGGTTTTCAAGTCCACCTGACATTAGTTGAGTACTAGCTACTTGCGTTATTAAATTGACTCAAATAGTGCAGAGTTTATTAATCCTAGTTATATATTTTAAATTAAATACTAAAATAATCGTATTTAAGATATAAATTTAAAAAAAGTGAAGCGAACTGCACTATTATATTCTAGTTTGAAAAATCAACTTAAATGAGAACACGAAATCAGTGCAACATAATTCCCATTGGGATTCTTTAATCTACAAACCGAAAAGAAATTTGTTCACAATTTGTACAAATTCTTAAATGAAAGTATTAATTTTTTCAGCACACAATTACGTCTGCTATATAAATACAAAGAATGCTTATCAAAAAACAAATTAAAATTTTTTAAAATTAGCAACAAGAGCAATTGTGACTATGATCGACATTATAATGATGAAAGGAATCCATGTCTTTATAAGTCGGCCAAAACTGAAACAAAATCGTAACATTAACGCAGAAAAGAAAACTTGAATCATTATTCATTCCAATAACATAAATACAAAGTTAACAATGAATGCGATGGTTTTTGGTTAATTCACATTTGATATGTTTTAAGTTAAACGGCGCTTGACCTGAGATATACTAATAAATTACCTGCCATTGTGATAAATACAGAGTGCAGGTTTGCCGCTTATGTTATTTTTTTCAATTTCCTCTTCAGTATATTTCAGAGGTATCAAAAACAAACTGTACGTGTGATTAACACATCTCACACACATTGCATGTGGTAGGCGAGAATCTCTTTACATTCGAACACGGTCATTGCATTAGCAGTGCTAGGCACCATAAGCATTACACCATCGCACCTTCCCATTTTTGTGCTACGAGGTTTTTTCAACCACGTTTTTATACGGTTGTTCTTTATGTGTCGTTATATATCGATTAATAAGCCTGCAACTAGTTGATCTCATGGATGGTTTACACAGGAGCGTATACAGAATGGAATAGTTTCAGTTCCTTTTTAAAAAAAATAGTTAAAAATGGGACCATTTTATTATTCTACAAGAAATTAAATAAAATTTTAATATTTATTTTAATTTAGCTACTGTTGATTCCATAACATTTAAAATTTGTGGTTTTTGATACAGAAAATCAAACAAAAATTCAAAAATAATATCAATTAATTTACACAAAGTTTATACAAAATTTATACATTTATATCACTGAACAAATCCTGGGCATGACATAAAACTGCATCCACGCTGCCTTGCGTGCTTTTGAGCAAAAGGCTAGGCCCACCGCTTATAACTGGTGGTTGTCGTCAGGATGGGTGTCCGGATGTAAAAACTTTCCCCAAATTATTCCTATGCCATCAAAAACAAAAACAACGGCCCCTAGTCCCCAGCAGGCCTTAAGTGGTCAAAGGGTGCTAAGAATTCCTGGGAAGTATGCAATAGCGGAGGGATGTTGCAGAAAAATTCAGAATGGCCCCTCTATAGTACTTAGACTTGGAACGCTTGACATCTGCTGCCTTCAGGAGACCGGATGGAAATCGAATGGTGTCTGTCATATCAACTCAGACAATGAAAAATATAAACTATTCTGGAATGGTCAAAAAACGGCTAAATGGTGTTGGAATTTTTGTCAAAAAAGTACTGGATATTAAAAGGATTAATTCACGTCTCATGTGGATCAAGCTTCACCTAAAAAAGAGAACAATGACTATTTTTTCTACATACGCACCAAACACAGGCGAATCAGAAGAGATGAAAAATGACTTCTAGGCTGCGTTTTTTGACATTATCTCAACAATACCAAAATCTGAAACAATCCTGATTGGAGGCGATCTCAATGGTCACGTTAGAGAGAAAACAGATAGTTTTGACAACATACATGGCGGTTTTGGCTATGGAAAACGGATTGAAGATGGCAACCGCATCTTTGAGTTTGCTGTAAGTCACAGGTTTTGTTTACTGAACACATATTTTAGAAAAAGGTTGGAACATCTCATAACATACAAAAATTCCAATTAGCTACGCAAATTGATTTCCTCGCTGTCATGCAACAACACCGAAGGCTATTCAAAAACGTCAAAGTTATACCTGGCGAATCAAGTGTCGCCCAACATAGACTCCTGGTTGTCAAACTGTCACAACATAAGTCTAGACAAATGCCTCGGAGAATCAAAATGTGGAAGCTGAAAAGCAATATTCATCAAGAAAAATTTCAACAGATTGTCGCATCACAGTTAGACCACCAATCGCAAGCCACTATAGATTGGAGTACATACAAAACAGTTTTGATGAACGTTACAACTACAGTTTGGGGGAAAACTGGTATAAAAAGCCAGTATGAACGGGACAAAACTGCAAACGAGCAATGGCATAAATCAAAGTCTGTTGATGATCACAAAATTTTCCGTGAGAAGAACAACTATGCCAGACGTCAAGTCGCACTAGCTCGGACAGACCAGTGCAGAGAGTGGCTCATTAAAAGCAAAGGTGAACAAATGAAATCTCTATATCGTACAGCAATATCGTATGGCACTGTTTCCACTTCGTTTGACATGACCAAACCACCGCAGACGGTGTCTCTGGCATTCGTCCTTTATGTCATTTAAACCAGCACGAAACCAGATTTCGGTAGATTTAATGTGGTCCTTCAGACTAATTTGTTGCATCCATCGGAGCATTTTCATGTCGGTTCGTTGAAGTTGTTGTTCCAGTTTGATTTTCATTGGCCATTTTTCTGCCCCATATAACAAAACCGGACGTATCACAGATTTATAAAGTCTTGATCGTAGTGGTAGTAGGATGTCACACCGCATCAATATAGAGGCAAGGAGATGCCATTTATTCCAGGCTGCACGTATGCGTGCTCGTATGGCAGCTTCAGCTGTTCCAGTAGAATCTAGAACATCCCCTAGATATTGAAACGATGTGACTTTCTCTACCTTAATAGCTTCAAAAACACTGCTATTTCGAATTTGTTGTTGTGGATTGATGCAAGCAGGACAAACAAAATTGGACACTTTATATAAAGTACCAATTATTTTTGAACAACGTTTGTGACACCACTGGTTACACTGCTGACACTTGATTGAATTGTTACCTACACCAGCTTTACAAACTGAACAGGGCCATCGTCCAGTAGCTGTGGATTAGATGGGTTCACCAGTGTTCATTGCTTTGGTTTTGCTGATGTTGACTTTGAATCCATGATCGGCGAGTCTGGTGTTCCAATCTTCAAACATCTGTGCTGCATTCTGCTCAGACGTGGCTGTTGAAACGATATTATCAGCATATATTAGATTCCAAATGTCACCAGTGCGTATCGGTTTTGCGATTTCCTCCATCACAGTTATAAATAAAAGTGGACTGAGAATCGAGCCTTGGTGAACTCCAACGCCGATGTTAAATGCATCTGTGTTTCCAACAGTTGTGCAGACGAGAGTGTTAGTATTCGTATACATTTCAATCACAAGTCGAACAAGATTTCCTGGAATGAGTTGTCGACGTAGACTCCACCTGATTGCTTCACGGGGAACTCGATTAAATGCTTTTTCAAGATCTACAAAAATGTGTGATAGTTGTTGATTCTTTGCAAGGTACTTCTCTTGCAGTTGCCAAAGGATGTGAATTGCATCAATTGTTGATTTCCCCGCTAGAAAACCAAATTGATAATTTCCGATTGTGATGCACGACGTTAATCTTCTCTCAATGATTTTCTCGACAATTTTCAGGGTGTTTTCTAACAGACGTATACACCGATATAATGAACAGTTTAATGGATCACCTTTGCCTTTGTATAGCGGAACTGTCGTGCTATAGTTCCATTCAGTCGGCATTGAGCAATTTCTCCACACTTCACGGCAAAGTTGTAGTAACGCTTCGATACCTGCAGTACCAGATGCTTTGATAATGTCATTTGTGAGTCCAGAGGGCCCTGCTGCCTTTCCATCCTTCATAGCTTTCAGAGCTTCTGTAAGCTCCTCTACAGTGATGTCTGGAATCGGACCTTCGATTGGTGGAACGTCAAAGTTGACATTGATGGGATTTGTTTCATTTAACAGACGTCTGTCTGTCTGTTAAATAGCTTCGCTATTATTCACAATAAATTTTTGCAAAAATATTATCAGCTAAATTTTGAAAATAGGTCTTAAAAAGGCTTCTAAAAACGTTAAACAGAGGTAAGTTTACGCCTTTACGCCTCATAAATTAATTTTCATGTTATAAAAATTAAAAGCGAGATGGTGTAATGGTTAAAAGCCCCTTGATGGAAAGAAGCGGAAAGTAAGATACATGTTACAGTAACCGAGTTCAAAAATAAGGTTTCAGGCAATCAGACGGAATGAATCATAAATTAATCATAAATTAATTTTCATGTTATAAAAATTAAAAGCGAGATGGTGTAATGGTTAAAAGCCCCATGATGGAAAGAAGCGGAAAGTAAGATGCATGTTACAGTAACCGGGTTCAAAAATAAGGTTTCAGGCAATCAGACGGAACGAATGTGACGAGATGATTCATATGTATTGTGAGTTGCTGATAACACTGATAATTAATTAGAACTGTGGAAAAAAATTGTTACAATTTATACTTTTTAATAATTCCATTAAACGAACCTGACGTATCTACTATGTCTTGTGAATGCAAACCAAACACTGACCATGTTCCAATTTGACTTATTTTTATATCTCATCTCATTAAGCGCCATAGCCACATGTGAATGACAATTGTCACAAAACAGATTGTGCTAAATAGACCAAAAAAATTAAATTATTCTTAACAAAATGTCCATGCAAATGGAGAGAGAAGTCATTGTGCTACACGAAGTAAGCAGTAAAAAAACTTTGTTTATCTCAGTTTTTTAAATTTTCGCTAAAGACGAAGAAGAAGCCCTTCACCCACCATGTCATTGGTAGAGAAGTGTTGTCCTCGATTTATATATACCGAACAGTTGATTTAACTCTTTAAACAGTTGTGATTCAAAATTTTGATAGTTTATGATAGTTTTTGTACATTTCTCAATATTTATAACCAAATTCTTGTCGTCATTATTTATTATATTAAAATTGGAATAATATACAGTTTTCCAATTCATTCTCGAATGTATAGGATCTATTTCGATTTTTCAATCATTTTCAGCATTTGTTGCGGTTTATATAGAGAATTGATATAACCGAATTTCTAGCATTGAATAGTTTTTTCTTACATTTCTTAATTTTTCTAACCAAATCAAATAATATAGAGTTTCCCAATTCATTCACGAGTGTACATGACCCATTTCGATTTTTCAATCATCTTCAGCACTTGTTGCGGTTTATATAGAGAAATTTCATAAATTACTGCATTAATTATGATTTTTTACCGGTGTATATATATATACATATATATATATATTTATATAATTATATATATATATATAGGATTGAGGATATATATATTATCTGGTATTGAAGCAATGTCATCTGGTGTACCACAAGGCTCAGTCCTGGGACTTATTTTGTTTGTACTTTACACTGCTGAAGTATATGAAGTAATAGAATCCTTTGGATTTTCATATCATGCGTACGCTGATGACATCCAAATAATAGTTAGCAGTGAACCAGAACTGTTTAAAAGTAAAGTTGAAAATCTCATTGAATGCCTGACTAAAATAGGTATATGGATGTCAAGAAATTGTCTCAAATTGAATCAAGAGAAAACTCAATTTTTATCTGTCGTTACATGGCAACAGCTTTCTAAAATTAATATTAATTCAGTCAAAATTGATAATAATGAAATACAATTCTGTGAAAATGCAACAAACCTAGGATGTATTTTTGACTCGAGATTATCTTTCAAGAATGATTTTAAGAACTTAAAAACATATTTATTTTGACATAGAACTACTTTATCGATTTGTACTTCATTGACCTTCACTGATCTAAGTTCATTTTGACAAAGTCAATATTTCCCTATATAAACAGCAGTAAGCACTGATGATGATTCATTCGGAATCGAAATATGGCCTTATTTGCAGCATGAATTCGGAAAATAAGTTTATTTTGAATTTTAATAAAATAAACGTTCACCAAAAAACTTTAGTGAGAAAAATTGAAAAAACGAACTACAAACATATTAACGCCAAACATTCGGTAGAATTTATAGAATATTGTAAAAATTATGGTCTATTACCAACATATATTTATATATATACATATATATACATACTGTGAAAACATGATTAGAATATGTTCAGCTGTTTGAGAGTCCATAGCCGACAATACAAACACACGAACATATATATATATACATTCATTTAAATATGTATATATATAAATATACCTAGGATGTATTTTTGACTCGAGATTATCTTTCAAGGATCATATAAAAACCATATCTAAATCATGTTTTTATCAGCTTTGCCAGTTATACCGCATTCGAAAATCTTTACATCAAACAACCAAGCAAACTTTAATTCATGCGTTTGTTCATTCACGGTTAGACTACTGTAATAGCTTGTTCAATGGATTACCAGAGAAATCTATTGCTTTTTTTCAATCGACACATAATAGAACTGCAAAAATAACTGTTGGACGTAGAAAGTATGACCATGTGACACCCATTTTAAGAGACCTACATTGGCTAACAGTGAAAAAAAGAATCAACTATAAGATTTGTGTGACTATGTATAAGACTATGAACGGGTTGTTACCAGTATATCTATTAAATAAAATCTTTAAAAAACCAGCTTCTTCAATTGAGATCAGACTATGCCAACTTACTGGCAGTGACAACTACTCAACTACAAACTGCAACTAGAAATATTGCCGTGTCAGGACCAATTGCCTGGAACAGTCTTCCGCAATCGCTCAGAATGCCTGGATGATTTTAAGAACTTAAAAACATATTTATTTTGACATAGAAATACTTTATCGATTTGTACTTTATTGACCTTCACTGATTTCATTTATAATAGAGAGCGCTTTCGAGAAATTTTAATTTTATAATGCGCTTAATAAATTGTTGATAATATATATATATATATATATATATATATATATATATATATATATATATATAAATGAAAACAGTGGAATGGAAATAATGGAAACAGTGCCATAACTTCTCTTGCAGATGTTGAAGTACCTGGCACACGTCTTAAAGCCGTCCAAAGAAGTCCTGGTCGCAAACAATCGAGCAAGACATGAAAGCTTTAAATTTAAATAAAATGGATACAACTGATCGTCTAATTTGGCGCAAAAAGTTGATGGCAAAGAAAACAACGTCCTACCTCGAGAAATCGGACCTCTGGACGCAAAACGAAGATTGATATAAATAAATAAATATATATATATGTATATATATATATAGGATTGAGGCTATCTGATATCCAATTGTTTAAAAATATCACAGCATTGCATACGTTGTTCAATTTTCAATTGAGTTTTTCAATTTTTTATACAACGAATTTCAGTTCATTATCAAGTTTGTTCAGTTCAGTTAATACACAAAATTTTTATTCATTATTTGCATATGTACATTCTAACATAAAAAAATGTTTCGACAATCATTTGTTGTTGTTGCCCTTCCTAGGAGTCGGACGAGGGTTCCAGGCGAGGCCTGAGCCAGTTCGCCACCGCGACCGGGTTGAGGACATATGGATTGAGGACAGTGGAATTCTGTGGATAGCTGAACAGATGTGGCACATCGTCCGGATGTGTTTGGCAGAAAGGACAGATGTTAATGTGTCCACTGTCAATTCTATTCTTGTAGCTGTTCAGAAGCAATTTATTTGCTACTACCTTCTGAACAGCTTCTTAACAATCATTTGTCATCACCAGTGTGGAATACGGATTTTGTTTTAATGTCTGTTTATATAGGTTTTGAGTGTTTTATTGATTTCATTCTTTCGTTTTTACTTTTAATCATTTATTCTCCGTTATTTATTAATATTTTTCGTTATCATTTTTTACTTTTGCCTTGCATGTTGTAACAGTTTCTGCGTATGTCAGATTTTGATTTTTTAAAGAATAATAAAAAAATGGTATCAGCAAAATTGAAAAAATTGAACACTAGCAAATCTGCGAAACCAGATGGAATACATTCTAGAGTTTTGTGAGAATAGCGAAGTTTGATTAACACCTACCTATGCAGGTTATTTCAATGATCATTAGATGAAAGCGTTGTTTTCGATGATTGGAGGTTATGTTATGTGGTACCGTTGTATATGAAAAGAAGAAAAAACCAGGCACAAAATTATCGTACAATGGCATTCACAACAATTAGTTGTAAAATCATGGAAGCACTGATGAAGAACTATATCCTGAAATATTTCATCAAAAAAGGTTTCATTTCTGGACTTCTGCGGTTTTGCAAATCTTAAAATTTTTAGAAGATATAACTGATGGAGTGGACCAGGGTCACGAGGTAGGTCAACGTAGTCTACATGGATCTTGAGATGGCGTTTGGCAAGGTTTCCCATAGTCGCTTGTTGTTCAAACTTCAAAGGTATGATGTGAATGAAAAGATGGTAAAGTAGATCGAGAAATATCTCAGCATCAGAACTTTTCAGGTCAAACTAGATGATGCCTTATCAGAGCCAAGACCGGTTTTGAGTGGGATCCCTCAGGGTGGGGTTTTGAGCCGTTGCTTTTCTTTATTTATAATAACGACATTTTATCTGTATGTGAAAATATCCTACTTTTGCAGATGATTCAAAAGTTTGCAGAGTATTGAAGAGTGAAGAGGACAAAAGCAGTCTTATGCGCAATATTGGTAAGTTTGGTTTAATAATTGGAAACTGAAATTAAACATATTGTTAAAATTTTGTTCCAACAAACCGTGTTTGCTCTACACCATTATGGTATGGATTGGCAACGGATTTCTTCATCTGCCGGAGGTTAAAGAATTTTCAGATCTTGGAGCCATTGTAGGTAATAAATTGAAGTTCAATTGTCATGTTTTGAAGGTAGTTCACAAAGCGAACTCTATGCTAGGTGTTATTGCCAGACATTTCAAATACTTTTCCAACGAAGCTTTGTAACTTCATACAAGTCATTGGCGAGGTCGCACATGGAGTACGGTGTCCAAGTATAGAATCCTTACGGAGGAGCTGGAAAAAGTTCTGAGAAGGACAACGCGTGTGAGAACATCCTGCAGTTGTCTTCCACACGAAGACCGGTTGAGAAAATTGGATTTGCCATCTCTGGTTTACATATGTCTAAAAGCCGACCTTATTTTGTTATATAAATAATACATGGACAACTCCCTGCCGATGTTGTCCCTACGTTACGTTAGCACACGATAGTTAGCACACGATGTTCGAACAAGGGGTCGTAACCTCAAGCTAACTATAGATTCTAGTCGTAAAGACTGCCGTAAATTTTTTTTCGGAATAGAGTGATGAAAAATGGAACAAACTGCCTTTGGCCGTTGTTAATGCCATCTCCATGGGCGGTTTCAAGTCAGCAGTCGATAGTTACTATAAGTTCAGCTGGCCATCTAATTTCTAATTTGTACTTGATTTGTGCACCTGTACAGTTAAATCCATTCTGCTTGTTAAATCAAAATTAGTTTCGTTATTAATTATTAAAACAAATTATTTATCATCATTTTGTGTTTTGCGTACGCTCTTATAGGTTCGCGTGTTTATATTCAGTTCAATTCTGTGGTTAGTTTAATGTCCTGGTTATGACATTAAACTGACCCTCACTGCCTTGTGAGTGATGTTGGATCATCAAAGGCTAGGCCCACCGCTTATAACTGTGG